CTTCTAACTTAAAAAAAAAAAAAACACAACAAAACATTTCTAACTAACAAATCAACATAACTGAGCAAAACAAGTCCACACATATGCTATCACCTTGAATTCATCACAATTCTATAAGTGGTTGGTAGCATGTTTCTTCATCGTACCTGTGATCAGAGTTCTAACATTTTTCAAAGCTCCTTTTATTTACAGTGTTATTGTCACTGTATAAAGTATTCTCCTTACTCTGTTCACTTGACTATGAATTAGGTCATGCAAGTCTTCCTAGGTTTTCTGAAACTTTCCCTTTCATCATTTCTCTTGGCACAACATTCCATTACATTCATATGTCATGATTTGTTCAGCCATTCTACAAATGATGGGCATTCACTTTGCTTCCATTTCTTTGCTACAACAAAAAGAACTACTGTAAATTTTTATTGTTGTTGTTTAAATTAATTAATTTATGTTTGTGGTTGTTGTTATTCCCTTGGGTCTTTTTCCTCTAAAAAAAGAGGAAATATTTCCTCTAAAGAAAGAGGATCTCTTTGGAAGAGATTGGCCTAGTAGTAGTATCACTGGATCAAAGGATATGGACAGTTTAATGGATTCATTTTCACTGGACTTCTGCCAAAATATATAGATAAACCTCTTCTCTTTCCCTAAGTACTGACACCAATCTTACTGAATTCACAGGAAGGCTATAAAAAGCCTTCATTCACTTCTGGGTTTCTTTTTTTTGGGGCGGTGAATGGGTAGGGAGGGAAAGGAGATAGTATGACTCTGACAATTAAAAACAAAGGAGTAAGTATTAAGCTAGAAGATACAAAAAGAGTTTTTTAAAAATATGATTAAATAATGTAATTACATAATTTCACCACATAATCATCACACTCTGGGTTGTTGGGTTTTTTTTTCAGTTCAAAAATTTGTTTATAACCTTTTAATTACATAATTGTCACAGGTATAATTCTGTTCATCAAGCTGCTTAAAAGGTAAACAGAACAGCAATGTATTCACCAGTAGCATATGGATATGCATTTATCTCTCGCACATTGCAAGGTGTGAGCCTAGAATTCTCAGCTCATGCACTTTGTCAGTATATTTCTGAAAGCCAACTTTGGTGGTTTGTTTAGAACAATGCAGTACTAATGGTATTGTCACTCATCCCAATGAAGAGCTGTAGGCATAAGGGGAGCAGGCATGCAGGTGAAAACTGCCATGAGTAAATCATATGATATGGTTAAGACTTGCATCTTCCCCCGCGAGCTAAACTCTTCATCTGCCAGAGATAGTTTAGTATTAAATGATTTTTAAGTAATATAAAATCTTTCACATAATGGTTGCACCCCACTTTTTTGCGAAAATCTGACATAAAATCTGCGACTATTATGTGGTGAAATAATGTAATCAACACTACATCCTACCTCTTCCCCAACCCTTCCCTTGTCTGGATTTCTGCAGTTAGTTCATTTAGTAGGGCAGGGCAGCTTTCACGAAAGTAAGTAATTTCTGGTATTAAAAAAAAAAAGAGTGCTATATGATATTCATTTCTCATCAGCTGCTCTACTTGGTTTCAACTCTGCCTCTGAATCCACCCTGGGTATCCTCTTTTGCAGCAGCCCCCTTCTTTTTCAGTTTCCTTTTGTGGATTCTTTCCACATTCCATTGTAAGCTACTTGAGAACAAGGACTGTCTTTCGTTTTCTTACTTGTATCCCAGGCTTTTAGCACTCTGCCTGGCTCGTAGCAAGTGTTTAATAATGTTTATTAAATATTTACTATTTGGAATGACTATTAAAACTACACATACAAATGAATAATTAGAATCCTAAAGATGCCCTGTAGAGTTTTGTGAATATATTTTTAATTTATTTTTTTGGTTAGATTTTAAGTTCTGAACTGTCATCCTCCCTCCCTCCCTCCTTATCCCCCAGTAAAGAAGGCCACCTTTTGACACAGATATGTGATGTGATGTATGTGTGTGTGTGTGTGTGTGTGTGTGTGTGTGTAAAACCATACTATGCATACTTCTATTTATCAGTTATTTTTCTGGAGATAGGTCCTTTGGAGTTGATTTAAGTATTTATGACACTTAGAATAACTTAGTCATTCCCATTTGTTCTTTGAACAATATTGCAGTTACTATATACAACGTTGTCTTGGTTCTGCTCAGTTCACTCTTCATTATTTCATGCAAGTCTTTTCATGTTTTTCTAAAATCAACCAGATCATCATTTCTTTTTCTTTTCAGTGTGCAATTTTTAAGTGTGGTTTATAATTTTATGTAACATTTTATTTTCCCCCATTTACACGTGAAAACAATTTTAAAACATTTTTTAAAAAGTTCTGAGTTCCAAATTCTATCCCTCCCTCCCTCCCCACCCCACTATTGAGACAGTAAGAAATCCAATATAGAAGATATATATATATATTATTTATATGTATATATGTGCCATCATATAAAGCATTTCCATATTAGTTAATTTGTACAAGAAGATTTGAAAAGAAAGGAAGAAAAAAAAGAAAGAGAAAAATAGCATGGTTCAGTATTCAAACAATATCAGTTCTTCCTCTGGAGGCAGATAGCATGCTTCATCATGAATCCTTTGGGATCATCTTGGATCATTGTATTGCTGAGAATAGCTAAATCATTCACACTTCTTCATGGAATAATAGTGCTGTTACTTTGTACCAGCATTCTCCTGGTTCTGCTCACTTCACTTTGCATCAGTTCGTTTAAGTCTTTCCAGGTTTTTCTGAAACCATCTTACTTGCCATTTCTTTTTTTTCCTCTTTTTTTTTTTTTTTACTTTTTGGTGAGGTAATTGGGGTAAAGTGACTTGCCCAGGGTCACACAGCTAGTGTGCGTCAAGCGTCTGAAGCCAGATTTGAACTCAGGGCTTCCTGACTCCGAGGCCAGAGCTCTATCTACTGCTTGCCATTTCTTATAGCACAATAGTATTCCATCACAACTATATACCAAAACTTGTTTAGCCATTCCCCAATTAATGGGCATCCCCTCAATTTCCAGTTCTTTGCCACCACAAAGAGCTGCTATAAATATTTTAAAACATATAGGTTCTTTTCCTTTTTCCCTGATCACCTTGGGAAACACACCTAGTGGTGGTATTGCTGGGTCATAGCAATTTTATAGCCTTTGGGGTATGGTTCCAAATTGTTCTCCAGAGTGGTTGAACCAGTTCACAACTCTACCAACAATGCATTAATGTCTCAATTTTTCTACATCCCCTCTATTATTTGTCATTTCCCTTTTCTGTCTCGTTAGCCACTCTGATACATGTGAGGTGGAACCTCAGAGTTGTTTTAATTTATATTTCTCTAATCAATAATGATTTAGAGCATTTTTTCAATGTGACTACTGTTTTCACTTTCTCTTGATAGGTACCTTCACCCTCTAACTCCCAACCCTGTGCTACCTTCAGTCCATGGGAACACTGGCCTAGATGGTTACCAGTAATGCAACTCCCAGCTCTGACATCCAATCCACTCCAGTGCCTTCCAGGATCAAACAGAAAATTCTCTGTTTGGCTTTTAGAAGGGTCCTCCATAATCTGGTCCCTTCTTATTCTTTTCCCTCCCCCGTGTAATCTGTGATCCAGGAACCCTGGCCTCCTCTCTGGGCTCTGGGCATTTTCTCTGGCTCTCCCTTCTCCCTCCTGGTTTCCTTCAGATCTCTCCCCAAATCCCACCTTCTACAACAAGCCTTTTCCGACCCCCTTCATGCTAGCGCCATCCCTCTGCGGATCGTGAATAGCTTGTTTGTACATAGTTGTTTGCATGGATCTCCCTGACCTTAGACCAGTAGGTCCTGGAGAGCAGGGACCGGCTTTCATCTTTCATCGTTTCCCCCGTTTTACACAAACGAGGGGCTTGGGTAATAAATGCTCACCCCGGACTTCTGGTCGGCTCACCAACCCCGCCAGTCCCTGCCCCGCCCTTGGCCGGCCTCCTTCCCCCTCCCCTCCCTTGGCCTGCCTCCTCCTCCCCCTCTTCCATCTCCAGCCCCCGCCCTCCTTTGGCCGGCCTCCTCCTCCTCCCCCCTCCCTTCCCTTGGCCGGCCTCCTCCTCCCCCTCCCCTCTCCAGCCCCCGCCCTCCCTTGGCCGGCCTCCTTCCCCCTCCCCTCCCTTGGCCTGCCTCCTCCTCCCCCTCTTCCATCTCCAGCCCCCGCCTTCCCTTGGCCGGCCTCCTCCTCCCCCCTCCC